AAGTTCGTCAAATACCTATAGAATGATAGGTTTCTTTTTTGTGGCGGAATGCTACAAGTTCTTCAAATACCTATAGAATGATAGGTTTCTTTTTTGTGGCGGAATGCTACAAGTTCTTCAAATACCTATAGAATGATAGGTTTCTTTTTTGTGAGTGTAAAACACTTAAATACACCTGTTCGATTTTCGATACCTCACTACTATAAAGGCTTGGTTTGGTCTGATATTTCATTGGTGGTAGTGTCCAGGGTCACTAATGAGGAGTGGAATTCTCCGAAACTAGTCTGGCTCACAGACACCCCCCCCCCACTATTACTTTAGAATGATTAACTGCCTTCATATTTCCACGTTTTGCTCTATTACTTTAGAATGATTATCTGCCTTCATATTTCCATGTTATGCTCTATTACTTTAGAATGATTATCTGCCTTCATATTTCCATGTTATGCTCTATTACTTTAGAATGATTATCTGCCTTCATATTTCCATGTTTTGCTTTATTACTTTAGAATGTCGAAAGGAATAGTTTTCACCTGCGTCTTTTTCTGGATGACCGGATCCATTGGAATTGCATTTGGCGAAGAAGGAGAGGTTTTCACGGAGAAAAGAAATCACGACCTTTATAGATTCGGTCTCGGTAAAAGAAGAGAACAACATACTGGTGATGACCTTCAAGCCAAACGAGCTGACCCTGTGTACGACTTCGGGCTAGGGAAGAGAAATGTATTCTTTTATCCTGACGAGCCTCTTTCAGAAGACGAAAATTTGTTTCTCAAATACAATGACTTCTCTCAACAACTGGAACCACTTATCTCAAATTACAAAAATAAACACGGTTTCATCTACGATTATGGACTGAACAAAAGAGATGCCGAGAAAGATCGATTTTCTTCTGGTTTGGGAAAACGGAACGAAAACAGTTTTAACTTGGGTCTTGGAAAACGCATTTTTTTAGATTCTTTTTTACCGCAAGAGTACGAAGATTTTATTAAAAGGCGGTTTCATTTTGGATTGGGAAAACGCGTGAATCGAGAGTACAACTTCGGTCTAGGCCGAAAGAAAAGAGAAATCGACCTTTTTCTTTAGAATGAAATGGTAACAAGTTTCGTTTTAAGCGTGACTCTACTGACATAGAAAATAAACTTTCGGTCATTTGTTAGTTTAAAGTGTCCTATTCTAATATCAGTAACAAACAGAAAAAGTGACTAAAGAATTATTAACTGTTAACTTTTAATCCCTGTATATCGCTTCAACCGCTTGTATGTTAGTATACATGTTTCTATTTGGTCACATGACAGAACCTAATAATTGTATTTTTCCTGCTATATTTTTATTTTTTTTTGTTTGTGCAAACTTTCAAAAAGGGATTATCTGACCAATATGGGAATATTTTTAATTTGTAACATGAGTTGCAGTAAAAATTAAACATGTTTTTGAAAAACAATTTTAGACTTTTTTGTGGTTAATACATAAACCACTCTCGTTGCTAAAGAAAACGGCTTACGTGTGATCTTATTTTGTGAATATTTTTTTTAATATTTTAAAGATCTTTGTTCGTTGCAAAAAGTTAACACACGTACACAGATTTTTTAAAGAAAAAAGCTTTGGAAATAGTGAAATAGAATAATATATATTTTTTTTACTTCTATGTCAGTTTCGAATGCACTTCTTGGACACATAAATAAAACCCTAATCAACATTCATCACATTAGAAATAGTATACACTTATATTTATTTGTTTTTAAACTCTGACGCTTATCTTTTATTGATACGTTTTTTTGTTTTTGTTTTTAAATAGGCATCTAATCATTTAGCCCATTTCTCCTGTACCCATGTAGGAATTAAATATTAGCTTAAAAGAATCAACCTTGTATTTATGTTTTAAAGAACATAAGGAATGACTAATTAACTAAATGACATATCAGGACTAACCACTTGGTAAAAAAGTCCTAATACAACATTAAATTACAACTTCATTTTCTTCTGTGATAAAATTGAAGCATCTTTAGCCTCCGCTTCTTGTGATATAAGTTAACTGAGCCTCCGCTTCTTGTGATATAAGTTAACTGAGCCTCCGCTTCTTGTGATATAAGTTAACTGAGTCTCCTCATCTTGTGATATAAGATAACTGAGCCTCCTCATCTTCTGACATAAATTAACTGAGCCTCAGCGTCTTGTGATATAAATTAACTGAGCCTCCACGTCTTTTGATATAAGTTAACTGAGTCTCCGCTTCTTGTGATATAAGTTAATTGAACCTGCACATCTTGTGATATAAGTTAACTGAGCCTCCGCGTCTTGTGATATAAGTTAACTGAGCCTCCGCTTCTTGTGATATAAGTTAACTGAGCCTCCGCTTCTTGTGATATAAGTTAACTGAGTCTCCTCATCTTGTGATATAAGATAACTAAGCCTCCTCATCTTCTGACATAAATTAACTGAGCCTCCGCGTCTTGTGATGTAAGTTAACTGAGCCACTGCGTCTTGTGATATAAGTTAAGTGAGTCTCCTCATCTTGTGATATAAGTTAACTGAGCGTCCGCATCTTGTGATATAAGTTAACTATGGCAAGCAGTATTCTGTAAAATACTTATAATATCTTTACTCTATTAAAAAACACAATCATAAACACTTTATAAGCCTAGTAGGCAATTATTATACATAAAATGTAATATTTTCATGCAAAGCATATGTCTATTAGCTATATTTCTACACACATTATTTTATGGAGTTTAAATGGGTCCTGAATTATTTTGATATCCAATCATTTGATAATTTTTATCACCCATAGTTGAGAAGTCTTGCTTTGTAAACGGAGTCTAAATTAAGCCATTTTCACGGAAGGAAGAGGGAGTATACTGGGTGTTACAAAAGACACAACTCCCCTTTTTTTTCACATTTGAATACCATTCATTATTACATGTAATCAGAGTAAAGATATCAGATATACCATTCATTATTATGTGTAATCAGAGTAAAGATATCAAATATACCATTCATTGTTACGTTTAATCAGAATAAAGATATTAGATATACGATTCATTATTACATGTAATCAGAGTAAATATATCAGATATACGACTCATTATTACATGTAATCAGAGTAAATATATCAGATATACGATTCATTATTACATGTAATCAGAGTAAAGGTATCAGATATACCATTCATTATTACATGTAATCAGAGCAAATATATCAGAAATACGATTCATTGTTATGTGTAATCAGAGTAAAGGTATCAGATATACGATTCATTATTACATGTAATCAGAGTAAAGATATCAGATATACGATTCATTATTACATGTAATCAGAGTAAAGATATCAGAAATACGATTCATTGTTATGTGTAATCAGAGCAAATATATCAGATATACGATTCATTATTACATGTAATCAGAGTAAAGATATCAGATATACGATTCATTATTACATGTAATCAGAGTAAAGTAAATTTGTCAAAACATTAAAAAAAATAACGTAGTTTTGACATTGGAGTGAGAAAAATGTATTTTCGATATTTTTTGAAAATATATTATATAAATGTTAACTTATATTCATTGGTTAGAAAAGTATAAACAAATTACTAAAAACTTCGTTATTGACAGTCAATGACAATATCGTATTAAAAGAGGCAAGATAGCAAATGTTTTCCTATTCAACGTTAAGACAAGTACATAAACGAACAATACTTAATTTTAATTACATATTTTAATCGGGCATATATGATATGAAACTCAATTAACTCGTGCAAAGCGTCTGAATGGAACTTAGTGATGGACTTTTATCGAATAAGAGTCTCTACAGGAAGTTGAACTTTTATCAAAATACAATGAAGTAAGTATACTTTCTGGTTGGGGTCCTTACACAGTATAGTTTGAGTAGAACATAACGTCTTGATTAACGTGGTACTATGCTGGAAAATATAAATGTATATTTCCACGTCACTTAAAGTTAATCAGAACAAAGACAAAAACATTAATGTTTGAGCTCAAAATAAACAATGTAATCTGTATACGTAAAACAGACAGTTCTTGTGCAAAGATTTTAAATATAATTAATAAAACGAGACATCAACGTTTATATAAATATATTGAATGTAGTTTGTTAAATCTCAATTTTCATGGTTTCTTTTCTAAATTAGCTTGAGATAAAAAATTAAACCTGCAAAATACATAGCATCTGATTTTCTAGTAAAAGCTATAGTTATATTAATTACTTGTAGATGGCAGCAGTGTAATACTCTTATTCTCTTGGCTTAATTAATTGTATGATTAAGGCTCATTTATGTTTATACGAACAAAAGCTAATTATTAAATATAACATTTATTAAAACTAATTAATATTACCTCTCTTGCTTTAATTTTTTGTTTATATTTTACACGAATATATTAAAATTAAAAATATCACAGGTTAACACTAGTCTTAATTTCAGCCATATTTAATGGAATACTTTTTCAGATATTTATACAATTATTGTGATTTATGGTTTTTTGTTCATTATGATATTTTGAAAATCACATATTAAATTTTCTATTTGATTTTTGAAAATAATAAATCTACTTTCAATTATTTACAAATTTTGGTTTTAGAGAAATCTTGATCTCAATATATTTTCTTTATAAGTAAAATTAATCAAACGAGACATCAACGTTTCTTACTTACACAATAATTTATTTGTAAAGTTTAAGAAATAAAATTTAAAAAAAATTAAAAACTCTACATGTTTCGGTGGAAATAATTCCACTATCTTCAGGAGAATAAACCACGAAGTACATTTCAAATTTCTGGATATACTAAATTACAGATAAAGGAGAAAGAATATATTTGCCCTATTGAAAAAAGTTGTTTAAACATTTGTTTAACAAGAAGTAAAGGCTTGAAATGGTCTATTCTTTCATTGGGGAGCAAAACATGGAAATATG